CTTCAAATATTGCTGGTCCAGAAAAAAATGAGAAATTATTTCACCTATAAGGCTATATGTTTGTTTTATAAAGAAATATCATTTGCATTCATACATGTAACTTTGCTTTAGAAGTTACTGTATATGTAAACAAATTGGCGTATTCAAACTTTATAGTGCAATCACTGGGTATTGAGTTGTTGGCGTATTTATGAATTATTATGCTTCCTGTCAGTTTGTCTCGATATAACCCATACCCTACTATTCTCGCATAGTGGTCTAAGGATTTATATAGCGTAAGCATACTATGCCGAAATAGTGCACGGCTTTATTTACTGAATAAAATTCTTCCATGCACATGCCGGGGATCGAACTGACGACCATGAAATTGTCAGTCCGATGCCTTATCGATTACGCCATAGAGACGATCACTGATTGGTATAATTTTATGAAATATATAAACTTAATTTATACAATTGACACAAGAAGGAGAAAATAGACAAATATTATTTGAAAACAGTTATATTATTCTAAGGAACTTTAGATTAATGTGTACAACAAACTTTCAAAATAATTACATACAGATCGTTAGATGAACTGATTTTATAGGGTCATTAAAACGCTTTTTTATATGACGCTTGATTGAAGGATGTAAAAGAAAATTGTCAATGAGAATCGACGTCTGCAAACAAATAAGGCTTACGAACAAAACAGAAAATAAAGATGTGTTGCTTTGGGACAGAAAATCCCGACTTATTTAGAGAAAATACTAGTAACCAAAATAACTAAGCATGCAAACAATTTTAGCATGAATATTTTGAATTAGTTCTTGCAGGTGCGCTGTTTAAGCACCGATATTTTCAGGAAAAAGTCAAATAGATTGCCGCATAAATAATTAACAGTCAGCATAATAATAACAATAGTGTTGCATTATGCATGTACTATGCCTAAATAGTAGGCAGGGTTTGACACATAGTGCACTCGCCTCCGGCTCGTGCACCATGTGTCAAACCCTGCCTACTATTTAGGCATAGTACATGCATAATGCAACACTATTATATAATTAGCACTACACAATTCCACTCTCTGTATTGTATTTATACATAATTTCGTTGCGGTGTTTTGAATTAGGGCATCAAATTCTGTGCAAAAAATATCAAACCCGCTGTACAAAGTACACGTTCAGTACTTGTACTTCATACATGTAATCATCCAATTTAATGAAATCCATTGGTTTATAAGACTGCTTTGGACTTTTAACCTTTATCCTTTTATCGTTTAAATAAATGTATTAAAATAAACTGACGAAATGGCCTTTGTCGATCATCGAAAAGTTGAAAAGAGATTTAAACGCAAATACGTGATATTGTAGTAAATTTTTATTTTACTACCGACATGACCGACTATAGTGAACTAAAGTTCCATAGGCAACATAAAAAATCCCAAAAGTTCTCATTATTTTCCATTTTAAATAAGTTTTGTGGCATTTTTGAGAACTCAATAGAAAAAATAGTAATGATAAGGTAAAGAAACAACAGGATAATAATCTTAAGGTTTTCGTTGAAACTGAAGAATGTTAATATTATTTTGCTGAAATATTCAAACATTTCTATTTAAGCATCATTTAAAAAATGTTTTTAAACAAATAAATGTATTTACAAATATTTCCAACCTTTAGATCATGGAAAAGAGCAAAACTCAGAATTCGCTTGCTGTTGTTACCGACCCAACAAGGTATCGTTTGTGATCATTTTGTTTCTTTTTGTTATACTCAGTTTGTTACTTTTCCATTGTAGGTATTTTGCTCTTTTCTGTATTAATTTTGTTCCCTTTCTGTTGAAGGATATTTATTTATAAGTAAAGTCGTCAACTTTTTATTGCTTGCACTACCTGTATTCATGGTCTGTTTTCTTTTGTGTTTTTATGAGTCATATAAAGCTCTGCTTTGCCAGAGCCTTCAAGATTGATAAGATCAAGATTTCCAATTAATTTGACCAAATTCCCCTTAGTGTTTTTTTTTCTGAATGTTATATACTTATTGAATAAGTTTTTTTGTTCTCTGATTTTGATGTCAATTAAATATTTCCAAAAGCTATTTCATTTTCAAATTTAGAACAGAAGTTCAACTTAGGACATCGCGTAAAAGAACATCGGGACAATCAACAGAGTCTCAGAATTTTTCCGCCCAAGCTGTTTCAATTCAAAGTTCCCGGACCAGTGTCATTCATCGTTGTTCAGAGGCATCATCCAATATATCACCGGGAGGATCTAGTCGGCAAGTATAAGAAGAAAGTTTTTGCTTAGGGAATTTACTTTGATAAGCGTGATGCCTATTTGTTTTTCATAGTATGAAACATGGATTTAAGGGCTCTTAATTTTTTTTTTATTATTTATTTCTCTCTAAAATTGACTTTGCTTACTTTGTTAGTAAAAAATGTGATTGTCTTTACTTTTCTGATTAATAACTGCAATGAAAGATATGGATATAACGAACAGTAGAACAAGATCAAAAGTCCATAAAACAATACAAAATAAGAGCAGAGCAAACACGGACTTCAAAACATCAGTGATGCGATCAGGTACCATGGAGGAGTGAACATCCCTAGCCTACATATGTACCGATCACACACATCGTGTGCTCATTGTCATGATCGGAAAATAATGGGGAAAATACATAGTAAATTCAGTGTATAAATAATGTTAGTCAGCATTTGACTCAATGATAAATTGTATTTGCCGACAAGACCATTGCTTCGACGATAGAACGTACGAAATGAAGCCTTTCAACTCAATTGCTTCTTTCACCAACTTGTTTGTCAATACGTTAACCCGATTAAAAAAAAACTGTTCATGCGCACGGCATGTTCTTGCTTTCCAAATCAACTGAGATATAGAATGAGATATAAGAGATATATACCTGTATGCAAGTGAGGAAGGTATATCGCTACATAAGTAAGGGAAGTTGATAATAGAAAAGTTAAAGCTATCACGTTTATCATATAGCTTGGTTGTTATATGACCAAAAGCGTCTTTTTCAAGTGAAATATCCAAATATGAAACATCTTAAACGAAAGTCAAAATATACTCCTGTTATACTAGAATTTTGATGAAGTCAATTAGACAAAAGTTAAGATATTTTTAAATATTGCTTTAAAAAAGTGTTGCTATCTGCAAAATAAGAGATATATTCAAAGATTAAAAAAACATTTAACAGGCGATTAAATTTTTGACTTAAGTCTAAGTCTATTTAATGATCCTTGGTCCTGGGGGGTCGTAACATAAAGGCTACTTAAGTCTAAGACCGTGCTTAAGTAGGACTTAAGTACAGTCTAAAACATAAGACCGTAACTAGAAGCGTACTAAGATTTGGCAATCTTAGCAAAACTTAGGCGGCCAGTACAGGTGTCTTAAGTATATCTTAACTTTCTTATTCATATATTTAGAACTATTTAACGTTGATTTTCGATGTTAAAACATTCTTCTATTCATATTATGCATTAAAGAAAATAATTATCTCTATTTGACGCTGATTTAATAATTTTAGTTTTTCGGGGGGAGGGGGGGGGGCTGATCCCTGATTCTAATATCACTCTCAACACAGCATACCTAACATGTAAATACAAAATTTAATTTTAGAGATATGTCTTGAAATTAGAGGCACCTCGGCTATAGAAATAAATTGAACACAGCCACGAACCATGGATCGACCTGTATGTTCACTTTGAAAATATGAATTGAAATAATTTAAAAACAGAAAAGAATGAGGATGATGAACAAAACAGTAATAAAAAGTGTCTGTTAAGTAGAATAAAAGCGCAGATTTAGACAGGATTCACTACAGTTCGATCGATCGAGAGAGAGAGAGAGAGAGAGAGAGAGAGAGAGAGAGAGAGAGAGAGAGAGAATTGTTGATAAGTGGATTCTGTAGTCTTTTCTTCTGAAATGCATGGCTGGATACATGGGGGGATTCAAAATGTATTGGACGTTTTAGAGTTTCACTTTCAAGTAGATAGACGGTCGGTTATCTTGTCTTTTCTGCGATAATAACAGGGTAAGTGAACATTTGTCAAAACAAAAGAGTTACAAAATGTAAACTGAAAACATCTCAGGTGATAAAACGGGTCCCGATAAAACAATAGTCATACATTTACAATGAACCACAAATTGCCGATTTAATCTGACCGTGCAACATTTGTTGTCAAACATTCCGAATAATGTATAACAGAATTATAATTTTAATACGAAATCTAATCTTACATAACCAAAACCGATAGGAAAGGACGCCAACATACATATGTATTTAATTAAAACCCTAACTGAATGACATTTAGCAATATCTCTATATAAAATGAAAAACCATAGGTTGACTCATATGAAATATTTTAACATAAGTTTGACTTAGCTAGGACCTAGCTTAGTTCGCTTTATGTTACGGTTTAAGACATACTTAAGTAGTACTTAGACAGGTCCTAAGATTGAGCTTAAAACGTACTTACGACCCTACTTAAGTCAAAAACTTAGCAAGCTTTATGTTACGAGCCCCTGGTCTCCAAAAACAGCATAGATATTGTCAATCAGAAATTCGTGTATCATTTTGATGTAAAACATTAGAGTATTTGTATGCACAATATGAATGTTTTTAACAAAGTAAATTTGCAAATGACCATTGACATGGTAGGTAAATTTACGAGTTCCATTTTTATTGAAAAAACAGCTGTAAATGATATAAAAAGCCAAATTGATCAAAAGTTGTATGGAATTTATTTTTAAGTATCCACATCTGATTTACACCACTTCTTGAATGTATTGTTGCACAGTCTCTTACTAATCATAAAGAGATAGCTGACATGTGAAAAGAAATTAAGCCAAACCCGCAAAAACGAAATATTTTATAAAACGTCTGAAGTTTAAAACGTTTTAACCTGTATTACCTTTTTATTCTAAATTTACCTTTATATATATGCATTATTATTATTAAACTACAAGACACTTTTTGTTTTCTTTCTACAATTTAGTAAACAAACAAGACACAGGCTCTTTTCAATTCAGAAGGAAATTGTTTCCATGTTTGATGACATAATGGACATCATTGAAAGTGAAGATTATGGCATAAATCTTCAACAATGTCTGGAAAAATCATCTCCTGATTTTGTATCATATATTGCTAAGCGAAAGGAAGATATTCTGAAATCAGATCACGGAATAGTTGTGGCAGGTAAAGTTAGCAATCTTTATGACCGTAAAACATGTTTAGAATTTGTGTAAGTAAACTATCATGACACGTTCATACATGATGTGTATTATTTTCTAAGAAGATTTTAGATTTAAGTACTGAGTCATACAAATATTTTTTTTTCATATAAACACATATACATTCCTGAAAACTAATTGTGACGTCATAAACATGTGCGGTTTTTTTAATTTGCAGACGACACCAATTTTCAACGGAATTTTCGTTCAGTTAATATAGTCCACATACATCATCTACAAATATTTTGAAATACGTGAAGTTTTATTGAATTTTATTTAACGTATCAAGAAATTAAAGTTGGCGATGGCTGTGGACACTATTATCTGAAGGAAAATTACCCTTGAAATGGGTCATTTTGATGCTTCCTCTGTTACAAATCAATAAATGCATCAAACTAATGACGTCATATTTCCATAATTGTAATTCTTCATGACATATTCATTCCTGATCTATCATATTCATAAACTAAACTCATCTATAAGCCAGTTTCAAAGCGTTTTGAAAACATAAGATTTTTAGGGCACAATAAAAAAAAAAAGTACCTTCTCTTAAATATCGATCGCTTCCAGTTCATCTTACACAAATTCTAAACATGTTTTACGGTCACAAAGATTGCTAACTATTTTTTCCCAGGTGACGACATACATTTTTGAATTATTTGAACACCTATTTTAGTTCACTATAACCATGATAGACTTCTTGCTGATGTCATTAATATTTTGCCGCTATGTCAAAAATGTTACGCATATAATGTAACCCTGCGTTTCTTTTTCTTTCAGAATATATTCTTTTCTTGAAATATATCATACAGATAAGAAGGGGCTTAATTATAATCATAATAATAACAGAATAAATGTTTCTTAAGTTGGTATATTACAAAAATTACAAAGAGGCTTTTCACGAAATATTTCAAGCATTATAAGGTATCAATGCATGCAAAAATACATGATCAACATTTTCTGGCTAAAGGTTTAATTTGAACATTAACTCCTCTACTAAGATATATTTCTTTTGTTAATAGATTTTTTTTAAGATCGACCAATAAATTGCATCATTACATTTCAAATACTCATACCTACTATACCTTTGTCAGAAAATCTATTTTTAGGAGAAACAAGCGCTGGTAAATCCACTCTTATCAATAAACTACTAGGGTTGAGAATTTTCAAAGGACGAAACATGGAATCAACGTCAACAGTTTGCAAAGTACGAAACTCTGATAAAGTGGTTATAAAACAAGAGTTGTGCAATGGTGAATTCGAAGTCAAAGATATGAGTCACATTGATGTACAAACAAAAAAAGGGGAAAAAACTCTAAGAGATACTTTGAAGACTCTTACAGATATGACCATAAAAAAAGAGAGTATCAAATATGAATGTGTAGATATTGGATTACCGGTTTCCTTTTTGAAGGTATTTATAACATTATTGCATTGAATGAGACCATGTATTATGTATTCTGTAACTTAAGACAGGTATGTTATACGTATTTTTCCCTATCTTTAATGAAAAACCCATTTCATTTACAAGATAACAATTACTATATTGTATTTAGGGAAATACAATAATAGTCGATACACCAGGCATCGGGGGCTCTGGAAAAGTCAGCCAGAAAGTGATGGAATATTTGCCAAATGCTGTATCTTTCATCTTTGTGATAAATGTGGCAAGTGCAGGCGGAATGCAGAAAGACAGGGTAAGCACAATGATAAAAAAAAAAGTAAAATTCAGTTTACATGAAGCAAACAGAAGATGTTATATTTTACCTTGTATGAACAAAACAGTTTGAAACTATATATTTCATTATTTGTTTGTCCTTGTTGTATTTTATATACGTTTAAATATTTCATTTCCACACCAAAAATGCAACAAATAATAACAAAATAAACTAAAACTCATGATGATGGTTTGGTTGTTCGTGTATTATTTTGATAGTCCTATAATTGCCATAATGCAATCACGATAGATGGTGTTTGTAATTTCTTTCTCTTCAGTCAATGTCAACGTTCAAAATATTTACCTATTTCGACTAAAGTGATGATAGGTATGGTTGAATACGTGTTCATTAACATCCCAATTTCACATTATATAACACCAGTGTGAAATATGATACTATAAACAAAACAGCAACTTTAAAAATGTTTTAATTCCACAGCTTCCAAAAATACTGAAATCCGTTATCGACCTGCACATGGATGACGAAATGCCTTGTTTTGATCCAAGCAGTGTCATTTTCATAACGAACAAATGGGATTCAATAAAGCAGGACCCGGATGACAGTGACGAGGAAGATGATGCCACTCAAACTTGGGAAAATGTGACAGACAGTATTTTTACAATGTGGCCATCAGTTAGAAAAGAGAATATTTTCAAACTGAATCTCATTGATGTAAGCTATCAAGTATTGTATTTCTTTCCGTTAAAAAAAATGAGGTAATCGTCAAAAGTAAAATAAATTCAAGGTATTTAATCCCTTATACTACAGATTCAAAGAAATTGAAATAACAGATATCTTGGTGTTGAATATTCGGTATATTCAGACAAAATTCCTAATTATTACCATGCAAGAGTGGGATATATTGTTATCTATGACCTTGAATTTTGGTAACAGTTATATCCCTCTATTTCTAATTAATCAATTTGAAACAAATGTCACTTTTATTAATTGAAACGCATTTCCCCATAAACTTCAATCTAATCTTTCTTAATTAGCTTATGTCTCAAAATTAAAAAGTTTGAAACTTTCTCGCAGGCAATTGTTTTCTACTATTAAATTCTTTAATTTGATATCAGAATATCATGTACGAGTCAAATATTTAAGGATAGAGAGTCTGGGCCAATTAGGGATGTGAATCCTTTACAAAAGTGGCTTTGCAAGTCAATCATTTCATTCAGAATATCCATAAACAGTAACACATACATACAGTTTATTTAAGGTACGATATTTGAAATGATATTTTCATTTTTATGAAAACACTTACCGTTTACATTAAGTTATTTAATTTAATGGCGCCATTTTGAAAAAAAAACACGATCTGGTTTCGACCTCGATTTATATTTTTATTTGTAGAGAGAGAGAGAGAGAGAGAGAGAGAGTAAATATAAACATAAAACAGTCTTTTTGTCCATGCTCCTAGGTAGTCTAGGTAGTAGTACAAAACAAGGAAGATATTGACGCACGAAGTAAAAATGGACCGCAAACATAATAATTCTTTTATGAGGCATCAAACTGAAATTCATGATCTGTTATCAATATATTATCTGATATTAACTGTTAATATAATCCGATCACATAAAAAGTGCATGCTTAATGCAGACAAAGATTTCATTTTTTAACAACAAAACTTTCTTCATACAAAGTAATAAGAAGCATCGCACGGAATATTTACTTTGGCAAAAACTGAAAAAAAAAAAATATTTGAGACTTGTCTCTCTCATTACCCGCGTAGCGCAGCGATTAGAGCGTCTTGAGACCCCCCCCTCTCTCTCTCTCTCTCTCTCTCTCTCTCTCTCTCTCTCTCTCTCTCTCTCTACGTATACTCTTTTAATTCAAGGCAATATATATACAACAAATGCATCAACCTTAAACTTGTTGCCTTAACATGGATTTATACAAAGTGTGAGTTTATATCTTTTCAGCGTATAAAACGTAATTGTCCCCCAAATAAATATAGTGCACACCAATAACCATACTGATAATCATAGACGCATGACAAACATTGCAATGTTTAGTAATGAAAAAAAAAACAGACGGGAGCAATTATGATTTATATAGTGATTAAAACATTATTTGTTCAATTATAAACCTACAAAGAAATTGTTCCTCTTTTAATTAATATTTAGGTATAAAAAAAAAACTGGTCTCGAGAAAACTACCGGATATGGATGTTAGGACGAGTAAACTTCGTTGTCGATGTCAGTATTACTCTTTTAATTGAATCACCTAGTTACTTGTTTCCTTTGCACATATTTATGCAGAGTGGAGTTAAGATATTTTTTTTCATGCTATAGAATGTAACTACAGAATTCCTCTAATGAACACAGTGCACACCAGTTTCTGTGACGCATGATGATTACAAACGTGTTTTGGAATACATCTTAGTTATTACTTAGTACATGTATGGCGTATAGTCCTCTATTCTTCAACTTTGAATAACAATGTAGGTGATTAAAAAATCTGTTACAAAGTGATAATACACCATCTGCTCTTTCATACATATATATTTACATTTGCAAATGTTTTCCTTTATATAACACTACTGAAAGCAATGTGTATCTATTACTGTGTAAATACAGGTACTGGGTCAAGAGGTTATAGACGTGCGTATGGATAAATTTTCGAAGTATTTTCTCTGTGATGTCATAAAGGGTAGACGCGCGGTCAGTGGATTACATACATACCGTTGGGTTTGAAAAATAACGCACTTCACACGTTAAAAGTTACAATCAGGCAAATATAAAGTATGAATGAGTCACAAATGTAAATATAAGTAATAAGGTATCATTTAAAACATCTATCGGGCTATAAATACGGGCTGGTACGAATTTAATTCATTATAAATCCCTTCGGGCTTTCTGGAATTCATCTCGAGACCAACCAGTATTTATATCCCGATAGATGTTAAAAACGATTCCTTATTTCTCAAATATTTAAGTGTTTTGATTTTAATTTACATTTTTTGTAGGTTATTGTATGAACGAAAATGTAAAAATCGTTATTATTATTCAAAAACATTAAACATTTTACATAAATATCCAATACATCTTGTGAGCGTTTCAATTGTATATACATACATTTTTAAGCATTTACCTCAAAACAAAACAAAAAAAAAATAAATAGATAAAACAAAAAATAAAACAAACCGAAAACAATGTCAGAACGTACTTTTTGATACTTCAGGTAAACAAAGAAAAGACCTCTATGGCAGAGTTTGATAAATTTCGAAAAGCTTTAGAAAAAGTGGTAAAAGAAAACGAAAACATAAGAATCACGGAACATTACAGGTAAATTCAACTTACATGTAACTCTTTTGTTTTACTCCTGTAAATCACCAGATCCAAATTATTGGATGGATGTGATATGGGGTGTGTGTAAAACAGATTGAATATAAATCATGTCCTTTTCACACTCGTGTGAATGACACTATTTTTGATATGTATACAAATGAGATCAAATGTGAATGTTATTACAAAAGCTGATCTCCATCCCCTTTTGTAGTCTTTGACAAAATTCTAATTGCATCACCGGAAAAATCCCTAGTTTATGGTTTGTGTCTTTTTCAGGTTCCTGTGTACACTGTTAGATGATATGTGTACAGTAGTTCGCACGAGACAAAAATTGGTTAATAGATCAAAAGATGAGCAAGACAGAAAAACTGAAGAACATCAAAAGAAAATTGCTTCCTTAAAAGAGAAGTGCGCAATGGTATTTCCATTATTCTTTTCGTATTGTAATATATGCAACTAGGTACTAATAGAAATAGCTTAATAACAAAGTTAGAGCTTTGAAAATGTGACGTTGTCTTTTAAACGACATCCTCAACTCAATCGTCAAATTATAAATTGTTAATCACTGAATCAACGCTCGTGCATATCGTTGCAAAATCTCAGATGTAAAATCTTAAATCTTGCGTACAAATATTAGTTATCGGACACTTAATCAAGAAGGATATGGAGATATCGAAGTATTCAATCTCAAAGTCCATAAAACTATACAAAATAAGAGCAGAGCAAACACGGACCTCCGAAGCATCAGAGGTGGGTTCAGGTGCCATGGAGGAGTAAGCGTCCCCTGCCGACCGGTCACACCAGGTGCTCCTTGTCATGATCAGGAAATAACGGGAAATCTGTCGTCAATTCAGTGTGTAAATAATGGACTAACAATAAGTTTGAAAAACGTCAGTCATCAATTTTTTACTAATAAATTGTATTTGCTGACAAGGTCATTATATCGACCATAGAACTTACGAAATGATGACTTTAAATGAGACGGCTGATATTCTTGTTTCATCAACTTGCTTGTCAGTAATTTATTTCGTTTAAGAAATTTTTCATACGTAGAGCATACTCTTGCGTATCGAATCAACTGAGATACATACACTCCGTATTCAGGTGATGAAGGTATATTGCTGCATAAGTAAAGGACATTGACGATAGAAAAGCTAAAGTTATCACGTTTGGCATATAACTTGGTTGTTAGGTTACCATTAACGTCTTTTTCAAGCAAAGTATCCAAGTATGAAACAGATGAGTCAGACTCTATGGTATATTTTATCTCTAGCTCTACTAGATATATCGTATCGACGTAGAAATTTTACACTTCATACGAGAAAAAATAGTTTAACACCACTAATTGGATGAAAATGAACATATGTTCCTGTATTACCGTTTTTATCTTAAGAAATTTGTACAAGTTACTTTTTCAAAAAAAAAAAGAGGGGAGGGGTTTATGAGCATTTATCACGTAAATATATCAAAAATGCATGTTATATTTCTATTGGACATCAAAGTAAGAATTATTGACAGCTTGTTGGAGCTCTTTGAAAACATAATTAGAAAATACCTAAAGTTTGTTTTATCTATCATTGTATTGTTTCCGTCAGGTTATTATTATTTTTTTTGGAAAGTTCATTGCACAAATTAAACATATAATAGTTATATTTCTTTAGCGTAATCAAAGTTTCAGAAAACTTCTGCTGAGAAATGATAAATTTTATCCTTTAAACTGTAAAATCACAGATTTTTAAGAGGTCAAAATTTCGTGGTTTGAGGTCATTTGAGATTTTAATTCGATGTCGAAGAATTGCCCTGTAGTAATTAATGTGAAAAGTGGGTCTTCAGACATTGAAATCCACGAAATTAAACCCCTACAAAAATAAGTGATTTCATAATACGTTTTTTTTTTATTTCTTTCAGAAAAGTCATACTTGGCGAAAACTTATCTCAAGCATCATAGAACAAGAGGCAAATGCAAGTTTTGAATACATGTCATCTGACCTTGGAAAGGAGAGAATTCTTAATCCAAGATGCTCAAAACCTATAATGAAGGTATCAAATGTTCCAAGCACATTAGCTGACATCGTTCAGAATAGGGTTGACAAATACATTAAAGAAAAAGTACTGTCTCCAGATGTAGTTGAAGCGTTTAAAAATATCAATGACGACATTTTGGATTTCTATAAAGAAGTTTCCTCCAAAATAGAAAAACTGGAAAATGAATGGACCAGGGACAGCGATGAAAATAGCTCGGAAATAGATGGAACTTATAAAGGGGAGTCGATAGCTCCTTATGTTGCTGGGGTAATAGCAGTGGCCCCACTTTGGTTTCCACTGTTGGTGGCTGGATGTGCAATAGCCGTTGCTTCAGCACCAGTGGCTGCACCAATTATTGCTTATTTAAGTAGCGATTCTACAAAAAAGAAACTTATTGATAAAGAATATGAAAAAAGTAAGTCCTTGTTTAAATCTAAGCTATGCAATTCTTTGGAACACAGTCATGGAGATTCATTAAATAAACTGATATCAAAGATAGCCGGAGATATTTTGCCACGAAGGATACAATTCATCGAAGAAACCATCAAAGAACTCTCTGAAAACCGAGACAAAATCATTGCAAACCAAAAATATTTAAACAGTCTTGCAGAAAAAATCACGAATATGAAAGATGTGACAGAAAAAATAAAGCATGAATTAAATACCAGTTCAACCGAGAAAATATTAATTAAGCATCATTTAGAAACGAAAATATAAATGTAATATTTCAATTTGAAATGTATCAATATCCTTGTGTGGAAATGACATTGAAAAACCGACCTCTGTCCGAAACATCTACAGGAGGTTAAAAAAAAGGATGTAATAAAGAATAAACTTATTGATTAGAATTTGAGACTTGTAAAACTTGCAAACGGTGAGATGTTAACACATATTATTTTCTTTTTTGTTGTTCATAGTTTTATTTCGAACATTGTATTTTATGTAACTGAAAAAACTGCACTCAAAACACACCTGTACCATTTGTAAAAATCTCATTTCATTTAAACAGGAATGAATTAAATTTACTTTTTATTAATTTTGAGTGTAACACTAAGAAACATGTCTTAAACGACCTGCACAGGGAGCTATACATTTTTTTCTGCATTTTTTTAAATACACATAGTGTCGCATTACTCAATTTAAAAGCACATAATCTTTGATATTGGAATTTAATCAAGGTAAAATGTATCAATTCGGTTTTTTAAACGTACAAATAATGAAAAGGTAAAATGTGAAAGGTAAAAGCATACACAGTGTGGTACCTAAGTAAACGTCAGCCGATAGATATGTTCGTCTTTTGCTATCAGAGAACATCTTTGTAGAAAACCATAAAGGTGTTTTGCATTGTTTTTATGCCTGTAAAATCTCCCTACAGAACGTCAATAGCCGTCGGGGATAAGGGTTTTCGGGTGCTAAATTTATTAGCAGCTATTGTATTTGTGAGTAGCGTTTCCATGTTTACATGTATACTTGGCACTTACTGTCATTTGGCAATGAGGAATCTTTTTTCGCCGACTCCTGCCGACTCTTGGCCTCGGTTTAAAAGGTCTCAACCAAAGAACTCACCATTTTTACTTCAAAGTGCCGATGTCTATGGAACAATAACTACCAAAATTACCCAACACGAAATAAATGTAAAATGAAGGGCTTTTAGAAAATAATCACGTATACGTATAGTACACATAAATTCCATTTGTATCAAAGTTAAAAAAATCTCCTTCAGATTGGGGTAACATATTTATTCTTTCAGTATCTTTAATACTGCAGATTTGTCATTAAGTCTTTTCACTTTCGAATACCTTTAGTACGCATAAGCGTATCTAAATTTACTTTCTTTATAGTGAATTTTGGGTTATACATGTAGATATTTGTACATAATTTTAAAAAATGTATAAAATAAGTCTATTTTTTTTTTACTTGCAATAAATAAAGGAGCTGTTCTTAATATAAAAATACTAAAGCGAAGTATAGTTTACTTTATTATCTAATCAAACTAATTTTGTTGTTTTGTTAGAGATTATTTGAAATTTTCATCTATTCTGTATTTGTTTTCAATTTTTCTTATCTTTTGAAACCGATCTATTGACTAGCAATGCATTTCGGAAAATGCAATCCGGGTTTCAAATTATATGTAACATTGCACAGGCATCAGTGGTAAACAATCATTTTTATTATATGATTGAATAAGTTCCATCTCTCGGATTGGCTGAGATCCATCTATGTTAGAAAAATACTACGTTGTATTGACCTGCACGTGACGTTCCAGGTCAATACAAGGATTTATTTCATTTCCATTGATCTAAAAATAGATTGGGAAATTCCAAATTGATACAGATTGATTTGGAAAGCTATTTTTAAGAACTGTGATTTTTTTTTTCATGTGAACATAAGCAAATATATATTTTAGGGTAAGGATGGTAAAAGGGGATGCAGGGAGCCCCCTCCAACACTTTTACTGAATAACATTTTTTTTTTTACTTTTTTTCAGTCAGTTTTCCCTGACAATCCTCCTTCCTTTCAAAATATATCCAAAAAAAGACTGACATTATATATTTCTTTCATGACAAATAAACTGATTTAAAAACATTTCAAATTGATACCACTGGAAAGGTTTATTCACATTTTAATTCTGCTTCTCTCTTGTATTTGGCTATTACTTAATAAAATGCAAACAAGTAATAAGCTGTATCATTTTATCAATGAATCATAGATTAAAACAATTATTGCTGTTTTTCGGTCAATACAATGATTTAGCCATCTTCAAAGTCCAATATTCACATCGCCCTTCGGGCTCGGTGAATATTGCACTCCTCAGATGGCTAAATCATTGTATTGACCTAAAAAAAAACAGCAATAATTGTATAATATACTGTGAAATCAAAACTTTTCATGGTGGTTTAATTTTTGTTTTCGAGGTATATGTGTGAAGAGACCCAAGAATTCATGTTTATCACAAAATGTAAAATGTTTCATACATAACCTCTCTAAAATTCTTCATCCACGAATTCAAATCCTCAGGAACCAATAATTTTAACACAAACCACAAAATTTGACCTCCCGAATATACAATGTATGTTTATTAAAAACAGTATGAAAAAGCATGTAAAAACTATATTTTTTTTGTAATATAATTTAACAAGCAGAAAAAAAAAATTATACCTGCTTCGGCGTTCACTGGAGTTGTCTCCCTCGTCTTCAGCAAATAATATGAAAAAAAAAACATAATTTAAATATTCCGTTTACAAAAATAAGAATACATAATTAATTGGAAAAGACCATTTCCAGGGAAAAAGGCACCGAAGCTCAGCTGGGCACAAAAAATAGGCCTCCAAACATCTCGCATTTGACACGTTTTCATTAATATGAAATTTATTTGTTAATATTCTGTTAATTCATATATGATTAAAGATATGCAAAATAACAACACATTTCATTTAATATCAAGAAAAAAAGGGGCTCATACGTCAAATTAAAAGTTTAGACGGTCCAAAATTTTTCATCAATAACACTTTTATGACCAATATTTTGTAATACATAACAGAGGCAAAGATATTTATCTTCACAATTTGCAACAATATATTACAATATTTGAATCATATATTACGTAATTAGGGGTTACAAGGGTCCAGAATGCTAAATCTTTGACGCTTTATATCTCAAAAAAGGAGGAATATTTTGATAAGCAATAATGAACAAAAATGATAAGAATACTGTTCTAAACAATATGCATAGTTAAAATTTATGTAAAATGACCTCAATAAGGACTTGGAGGCATGGTCCCTAAATATTTTTATTCAACATATCCTCTCAACGAAAAGAAATCTCTAAAAAGACATTGAAACAAAAATTACAAGATCTATTATTTGATACCAAAGAAAAGGGGTTGAATCGGGGCTCAAAGTGGCCAAAAGCCTTTTATTTTTTAACTCCTTAATGACAAATATTTCAGAACACATTAATAAAGCAAAGACAACCATCAAAGATCATTTTCTTTCCCAAATTATTTTTCTGGATCATTTTAATCGAAACGTACGTGTCGTGCAACAAAGAGAGAGAGAGAGAGAGAGAGAGAGAGAGAGAGAGAGAGAGAGAGAGAGAGAGAGAGAATTTGCTACATACATCGTTGATCCTTGTTCTCTCCCAGGTCTTTCACAACAAAAGTATTCCATGACAGCGACAGTTGCAGCAGCGCAAATACCTCGAAGGGAAATCGATAAATAAAAATCAAAAAGCTCCAAAACAGTAATTACATTTGTACATGTATATCAAAGACTAGTTATACAAGATAAGCAGGTCAGTTGAACTTTTTGAACATGTAACATGTAAAGCAAATGATTTATTTTAAACCATTTACAATCCAAAGGGATTGTCCATAGAAAAAAAGACAAAGCAAACAGGGGAATCCTTGATGTTCTTTTTTCTTAAAATAAAATTAAGGTAATCCGATCCTTATGTTTATAAAATTAGCAGTTAATGATAAAAATATCTCTGAATCCACAAAGTAATGTAAATTTACACACAAAATTTCTTTAAAGTTAAGAATTAAAGTTAATCATATCATACATGGAAAATTGTCAAATCTCCAATATATATTCAGAAAAAGCGAATAGGAATATCAGCCATGCATTTTCTAATTGCAAATTGATAAACAAATATATTGTAGATTAAAAAACAATAGGAATCCAGGAATTCAGAGAAATTCTCATGATTTGTATACATATTTGGTATTTTCTTCTCTTAACTTCATGTATTATATAATACATGTACATAGTGTAAAAGGCTTTTGCTATATTTGCAAGACATAAAAAATTAATTTTAATTTCACATCATTTTAATAAGCATTGGTATCTAAGGCTCAATTCAAGAAAATCTTAATTCTCTAAAATTGTAATTATTTTTTTTCTTTTTATGGAGAACAAATGTCAACTTTTTATAAGACCTTTTCAAAGGCTTCCATAAACCTTGAATCATATAAAGATGAATAAGATTAAAATTGTTCCATGAAAAGTTTTCATTTTCATGCCTCATATTAATGATTTTTAATTAAAATATTGATTTTTTTTCCTTCTTGGCTGAGGATCAGATATCCTTGAGATCCCATATTAGTGAAAGACATAAAAAGTCCAGGGACTCTTTTACAAAGAACTTACGCCTAAGACCAAAATTTAATTCTGATCATAACTATTTATTTTGAATTGATTTGATTTTAAAAAAAAGAAGTTAACAATTTATTTTTATGCCAGCAATTTTAAAGAGGATAAATAATTATGTACTTTGTTTTACAATCATTGTATTTTTTGGTCTTAGTTTCTAGTATTTTAGTAAAACAAGACGCAGATCATATTTATTTAACACCAATAAAGATGTACTTTGATCCTCAAGTGTTAGTGAAATTACATTTATGAGATAAACACTTCAAAGTTAGGTTAAGGACGCCCATAAGAAATACTTCTTAAAATATTCCGAGAAAATAAATACATTTTGTATTTATTTTATTTTTTTTGAAACGGCATACGTTCAGACGAATAAAGATTATCCCTTTCTGTATATCTATAAATAACATTTCCAAAAAGTTTTGCCTAAGTGAAGTCCAATTCACTTACATCACTTACATCAAGTGTTTGCCATATGGAATTTTTAGAATTTGTAATAAATATGTGCACATAAATAAGATCGTAAAATTCCAAGGGTATACGGACATTCTACGAGAACCCATT